CTTTGAGAGTTAGTACAGCAGTATATATTTAGCATCTGGTAGCTGAATAGCAGTCTTTTTTGACAGAATAATTTTCTATGGCTCTTTTTTGTGTTCTGAAATGACTAATGAAACCATCTGGGATTAGCAGATTTTAACTCCCTGAAGGCTGGAAAAGACTTATTTGGCTTTGTAATTCCCCACAATGTCAGGCCCAGTACTTGTAATCTAAGTGTTTATTGAGTAAAAGAGTGAATATGCAGAAGGTCAGGTCAGTATTCATTCTAATTTAGCCATTTTTGTCATTCATTCCCTTTTAACTTCTATACAGTAGTTTATTGTGACCTTAACTTTCTTATACAGTTGTGTATCACATAATGACGTTTTGGTCAGCAATGGACCATGTATACAATGGTGGTCCCATAAGATTATAATGGAGCTGGAGGTGTGTAGTAGGCTATGCTGTCTAGGTTTGTGTAAAATGACAAAATCATCTAATGATGCATTTCTCAGTATCCCTGTCATTAAGCAATGCACAACTGTACCTTTTTGTGGAGCTGCTCAGTAGGTATTTGACATAGGTATTATGTCATTTTCTAGATAAGGAAACTGAGGCTTAGAGAGATTAGGTAATGCACCCAGTGTCACACAGCTAGTAAGTGGTAGAGCCAAAATGGAAAATCAGTTCTTATGGATTCTGTAGGTCAGGTGCTTTTTAGTATAGTATAAAATTAGAAATAGTATAAGAGGCATACGGGTGACCCTGTGACATGGCAGCTTAGTTCTTTGAAGCCAACAAAGGAGACTTTCTGACTCTTAGGAAAGGCCTGGACCATCTTTAAAATCGCTACTTGATTAAGTCAGGCCCACCCAGAATAGTCTCCTTTCTGCATAACTCAGAATCAACTGATTTGGGGCCTTAATTACATCTGCAAAAATCCCTTCACTTTTGTCATATAATGTAATCACAGCAGTGATGTCTTTCCTTATTCTTATTGGTTGAAAGCAAGTCTCACAGGTCCCACCCACACTCAAGGGGAAGGGATTACACAGGGTGTGAATATGTAAGGTCACTTTTGAGTCTGTCTGCTATAGCTTTTTTTTTTTTTTCATCCATTTCATAGGGTTTTTTATCAGCAATTGGACACCCTTTCCCCAAAATGATTTTTAATCATGGAAGGAAAAAGAGGACTTGGGATTACCTTGAATTTGAGGAAGAAGAAGAGAAACAATTATCTGACTCCATGGCTTCCCTGGCATATTTAGTATTTGTACAGGGCATCAGTATTGATCAACTTCCAATGGTCGTAAGGTAAGAGTTAGTGTTTGGTTTATTCATGTATTCGAAAGGAATATTATCCAACTCTCATTTATCTAATGTCTAATATATGCATATCAGCATGCTAATACACTTAAGATAAAGTGTAAGTAAAGGCTGTTTTTACTGCTATAATCTGTTAAAGCAAGAAGTAGTCAAGTAATGAGTAGGAGTGGTGTTGAAATAGTTGTAAGGGCATGGTGGGGACAAGAGTCAGAAAGTGTTAAACAGGGCTTTGTTTTGAAGCTTTTGGAACCATCCTGGATTACACGGCAGGGAGCTGGCTAGGTACCTGTGGGTACTGTCATCTCTTCACTGGATTACTGCTGTAGTCCTTGGTGGATATTTATGTCTCACTCTCTTTTTAATCTAACCCATTCTCAACACACTAGAAAGTGAAGATTGAAAAGAAATCCCTTACTTAAAACCCTTTAGTGGCTTCTTACTGCTCTGAGAATAAAATCTAAATGCCTTCATGAGAGAAGTTTATGCATGATCTCCTCCCTGCTTTATTGTCCTGATTCATCTCCTACCACTTTTCCTCTTGTTTACTATGCTTCAGTAACACAGACCTTCTTTTGGTTTCTTGTTCAAATGTGTCATTAACTTTCCTGCTATAGGACCTTTGTATATGCTTAGAACTATCTTTATCCTTGAATGTCACTTTCTGAGGAAAGCCTT